TCAATACCTCAATACTCACCACTTTCCTTCCTATATCTTTACCCTCTGCATAAACTCCTTCCACACACATACAGTGGGACATGCACCCTCACAGCCATGGCAAGAAAAGGGAGGCTAGTCATTTTGATTATGCAGATGGGATGGGTTGGGTTTGACTATGGTGGTAGTTTTTTATGTTGCCTCACTTTGTAGATGTTTGAGGTCAGCAATTGTTGAGATTTCAGTGACTTGCTGACTTACACTACCTCTCTCTATTTCTAGGTCTCCTTCATTCCTATATTAGCTTGTGACCATCACTCTCCTTTTGATATCAGCACAGTATTGATGCACCTCCTTCCAACTCTAATCGGCTAATGGCCCCTTCTTCTTCTTTGCCCAGCCAAATCAACTCCTCCCCTAACCATGCCATTATCTGTTCCTTTTCTTCTCGCCTCTCCATTCAGGCCAGGGGTTAGTCACACCAAATTTTATGCCTCACAAGCGCTCTAAATACTTTCCAGATGCACTGTAAATATATTTTAAGCACACTGAGTAGCCATTTTGTTATGACCACTATCAGGCAGCATGTGTAAACATGCTCATCTTCATATTGTTGAACAAAAACCAAACCAAAAAAAATTACAAAGATGTGCTGTAAATGTGCTTTGCTTCCGGGGAATTTAAGAGAAATGTTACACATTAACCAAAACCGTACAAAGTTTTTTTTTTAAGTGTCTGTGAACTATACTTTTTGCTATCAAAACTCTGTGAAGACACAGATGTTTTTTATTCTACGTTTTGCATCCTGGGCGACACAGTGACGCAGTTGGTTGTTCTACCGTCTGTCATCGAGCTGGTCACCGGATCATATCTCGGCCGGGGACCTTTCTGGGTGAAGTTTGCATGTTCTCTCCGTGCATTTGTGGGTTTTCTTTGGGTACTCTGGTTTCCTCCCACAGACCAGAAACATGCATGTTAGGCTGATTGGTAACTCTAAATTGTCCATACTGTAGGTGAGAGTGAATGGTTGTTTGTCTCGTTTGTCTCTGTGTCACTGTGATGGACTGGAGACCTGTCCAGGGTGGCCCCCGCCTCTTGCACAGTGACTGTTGGATATGGGCACCAGTGACCCCCACAACCCAAAAAGGAAGAAGCGGGCAAAGATAATGAATGGATGGATGTTTTGCATCCCATGTGCTGAACTGACATTTTTTTAATCTCTCTGGTGAAGCTCAAGATGGTTTATTCTGGTCATTGTTGAATCTTTTTGACCTTTTTATTTAAGTTGACATAACCTGAACTGTGACTTGTTTCTCTTTTTGTCTGCATTGTGATGGTTCTATAAATTGTTTTTGTGTGTGGCCAAGAATAAAAAAATTTCATTGCTGTTGTACCAATGAATCTTTTCTATGCGAGCGATAACAGATTCAGACTGCTGGGCACCCTGCAGCCGTTTGTCTCAACATGCAAGTCATCCCCCGCCATTATACTGCTAAATGGTCCCTTTCAGTGGCAGACACTTTCTGCCTTAGCTCCTATCATTATGTCTCTGTCACTGGGGGTGGTGATGAGGTTGCAGTTTCTGTCACAGAACCAGTTAGCACTCTAGAGGCAAAGACTCTGTCTCAAAAACAATGTACTAGGGAGAGGGTATAATCATTAAGACAATTTAAAGTCTGACCACTTTTTTTAGTCGTGGATCTATATCATAAAACTTAATGGCTGAGTGGTGCCCTGCTATGTTGAATAACACAAATAATATATAAAGGATGACAATGAAGCGGTTGGAGAGGTACCAGCTTGGCTTTTTTCTTTTTTTAGTTTGAAAGTTTGGTTAGGGAAAATACGACGGAGCTTTAGGGCCACACTAAGAAAAAAAAAAATTAAAAGCCATAAAATTATGAGAAAAAAGTCCTAAAAGACTGTTTGTTTGTTTTTTACCACTCTGGAAGTGGCAGAAATTATGTTGAGGTTCTCCTTTGGAGTGATGAGGCTGGATAAGATTAGGAATGAGATCATCAGAGGTACAGCACAGGTTGAACAACTGGGAGATAAAGTTAGAGAGGCCAGACTGAGATGGTTTTGACATGTCAAGAGGAGGGACAGTGGGTATATTGGTAGAAGGATGTTAGAAATGCAGCTTCCAGGAAAAAGACGGAGGAGATATATGGATGCAGTTAGAGAGGACATGGAGGTAGTTGGATTGAGGACAGAGGATTCAGAAGACGGAATGAGGTGGAGGAGGATGACTCGCTGTAGCGATCCCTGAAGAGGGAAAAGCTGAAAGAATTTTTTTTTTCCCACGAGTCTGATGCATAACGTGACCTGTATATCAATCCAGTAGGCGTGTCAGGAAATGACCAATCCGAAGCTAAATGCGCCTATAAGTGAGTCGCTGGGTCTCTTCAGCCTCTTTCTGGCATATTTATTGAAGACCTCTAACAGCGCTACATGCACAGTTTCTCTCATTGAGCACCGTTTTCAAATGGAAACTAAAACGAAATTCATGACATAATGACGTTACGTATATACATCCCAGAAGCAGCATACAAAAACACAACAGTATAGGGGACAGTATTGGAACATGTTTTGAGTAAGAGCGTCAATAACAAAGTTTAACAAACATTCTTCATTTTACCACAGTTAAAATGCGGTAAACCCTGCTTTATTGTGTCGGAGTTTGGTTAATATTACGACTCATTTAGCTTCGGATTGGTTATTTGCTGATACACCTACTGGATCGATTGGCAGGTCGCGTCGTGGAGCGGACTCGTGGAAGAAAAAAATTAATGACAGCTGTTTAAAAAAAAAAAAAGTCTCGTACGACTTTATTCTCGTAATATTAAGACTTTATTTGACTTTATTCTCATAATTTTATGGCTTTTCATTTTATTTTTTCCCTTAGTGTGGCATTGTAATTTTTTTTAGCGTGGCTCTAAAGCTCCATCGTAGGAAAAAATACTGTCGTAGGTTAAAAAAAAAAGTTTGCCAAGCCCCTGCTTTTGCTCTTTATAGTTACTCTATCTGATCTAAACATAAAAAGTATGTTACCATGGTCATTTGATGAAGGTGTTGGACATGCCACCAAGCAAATTTTCTGTATGTAACAATCAAGTAGAAAGTATCATTTCCTGTCTCTCTTGCTAAATGATTATCAGTCAATTAACTGACGATTGCCACCTGAGTAAGCCTTTTTGTTCATGTTCATGTGTTCGTTTTTCCTTTGGCTGCTCCCTTCTGCAGGGATGGCTGCAGCAACACAACTTTGCATTTGGGTTCTTTTAGATTTGAGCAGCGCAACAGCTCAGTGGTTAGCACTGTTGTTTCACAGCAATAAGGTCCTGGGTTCACTCCATGGTTTGGACCTGGAGTCTTTGTGTAGAATTTGCATATTCTTATTGTGTTTGCTTGGATTTTCTCTGGGTATTCTGATTTCCTCCCACAGTCTAAAAACATGCATGTTGGGAGCCTTTAAGGCCCAGGCCTCCCTTGCAAATAAGTTATGTGATCTCAGTGGGATTTGCCTGGTTAAATAAAGGTTAATTTAAAAAAATGCAGTTGTTTTATACTGGATACCTTCCTGATGCAACATGGGCTCCAACCTGCTACCTCAGTCATTTCTCTCTGGCTGCTTTTCATGTCACATGGAAATGTTTCAAGCTTTGGTTTGTATGACGCAGAGACTCTTTCTCCTTCTCTATTCTTGCTGACCAAACTCAGGTGGTAAAATAGCTACTAGGAGAATCAGAAGTGGGGTTCACAATCAAGTGTTTTTGTGTGCTCTCAAGCACCATAACAATCATAACAAAGGAGCGAGGTCATGAAAAAATGCTTATTAGAGTTGGCATGTTGTGCATTGTGCTTTGAGTTGATTAGTAATAGAACTGTGATTGTGAGAAAGGTTCTTCAAATGTGAAAACCATGTTTGATTTCTGTTGCAGCAGGAAAATAGTTGTCATCGTGGGTTGCGATTTTAGTTATCCTTGTTGACTGTAGTGAGCCATGTTACTGGCCAGATGTTACCAAGATTTAAAAGTCTCAACAGGTTGCAGGACTAGGTTGCCTGGTAACCCTTTTGCTTTTGCCTGTAAACAAAAGCTAACCCACCAGGCCTTTCTTAGGTTCATAAGGGTAGCTTTGTAGCTTTGGTGTGTGTAGATATACAGTTCACTTGTGTTTAAAATAACTATTTGTATCAACGTGTTGACCAGTTTTCTTAAACATCTTTGTTTGTTGCCTTGTGTTAGATGTTTAGGAAGTTGTGTACAGGAATACAAAGAGAAACTGTCAGTTTTGACATTTTGCTTCACTCTGGCGAGGTTGCTTTTGCCTCTTTCTTATGGAGGTTTGTTAATATGTATCAAGAATATTCACTTTTCTTTGTTCGCCCTTGTCTGGCAAGCTGTAATGTTTTGCTTATGAATATTGATACATGAAGTGTATATTAATGACCCTTTGTGACCTTAACCCTATCCTTATTGGCTCCCTGGTGATATCTGTAGGCTCATGAATATTAATCTAGTTCTGTAACCTCCATTACCCTAATCTTTGCTGTCTAGCCTCCCAGAAGGACCTGTTGTCATGGTAACCCTTTTACTAGGCTCTTCGAGACCAAGGGTGGGAAAAAATGTGATTCTTATTTTGTTTTTTTAAGAAAAGGACAGAAAACTAAATTGCACAAATATTTTAGCAATGCTATGTGAAAGCTATTTTTATATATAAAGAAAGGGTAGTATTTGCAATGGAAGAATTTCTTTTGTGGTTTTCTTTTGGAGCAATGAAGTTATTTAATTGGAAATTTGACTTGGTTTTCTACAAAGCCGCAAAATGGTTTTTAAAACTTAATAGTTTTTCTTTATATTTTGCTGATTGCTTTTATACATAACTTGCATACCTGTTCAAACATAAACACTTTACTTTACAACTACTTACATGTTAGATATGCTTTATCTTTGCTAAAGTACCTGAACATTAACTCGTCTGTCGCCATTGACTAAGCAGTCCAATTTGTCCTCTTACAGATGTGGATGCCAACGAAGAAGGGGTACCTGATGGCAATGCTGTGGAGGAGGAAGGCTGGTTTGGGAATGCCTCTGACACGCGCTCGGACTCGTCGTCTTACGGAGACACCCAGGACGAGCTCCTCCTGCATAGAGGCTCCTCTTCTGACGAACAACCTGGAGTTGGTGTCGGACCAGCGGAACACAATACCTGTAGGGGTGGGAGCTCATTGGGTTGCACAACGCCCTCACACTGTGCCTCTTTGGAACTTCTTGGTCTGGATAGAGGTTCATTCTCGGCCCAGGACACACTCTCCTCTGTGGTTTCATCACTGTATGGTGAAGCAGCATCTCAAGCCCTGGGGAAACCACTCAGCAGCAATTTACGGCGCCTCTTAGAGGCTGGGTCACTCAAACTTGACACAGGGGATGTCTTGGGTCGCTTATCTAGGGGAAGTGCTGGGGGAGAATCACCTCCAGTTGCTCTTGCCCCACCTCTGACCCTCTCCCCGTCTTCCCACCATGCCCAACAGTTAAGTGCTCTTGCACGAAAACTGGCAAATAACAGTGGCTCTGCTTCACCAGCCTCCTTACCTTCCTCAGTCACCAACATTAAGCAAGAGCCCCTTGATCCCTTTAATTCTGTCACCAATACTAATGGCAGTGGATTTGTGTGGGCAGGCGTGGCAGATAAGTGGCCACCAGCCTCTTGCTCCACGCCCTGCGGCTCCAGCCTGTCCCCAGACTCTGCAATACAGAAATTAAAAGCAGCAGCCAACGCTGTGCTTCAAGACAAGAATGCTGTTGCTTCCTCTTCAACGACATCATCCACCTCATCCACCGCTGCCTCTTCTGCAGTGCCCACCTTAGGCGGGGGCGTTCGAGGAGACGATGTTGTGCGCTTTGATGCCTTCAACTCTCCATTTAGTCCACAATCGGCTAGCTCTACCCTCGCTGCTCTTTCTAAGAAAGTTAGCGAGAGGAGCCAAGCTTCATCAACAAATAGTGCTGCTTCAGACCACCAAGCCTCTGCAAGCTCTTTCCTCTCTCTCGTGTCAATGACCTCTTCGGCTGCCTTACTCAAGGAGGTAGCTGCCAGAGCAGCAGGAAACCTGCTGGTGGAGAAAAAGGAAGGTTCCCCTTTGGCTTCTGCAGGGGTCCTCCAAGAGGATGGGAAGCCCCTTTTGGATAAGAACCAGAAGGCCCCAACGCCATCCACACCAGCCCAGAACCTGGATTTGTTGTTGCCGTCTACTCCAAAGGGCAGGGTCAAACCAAACAACCAAGCAGGTAATCTGTTGATTGCAGTGTACTATATAAATGTAATGCAATAAATGCAATGTGTTAGTTTGCAGCGCAATATGTGTTTGTCACTTTAAAATGATTGGTTTGAATCATTTAAAATAGTGACAAATGGATCTTCTGGCATCCCTTTAATGATTAGCAATTAGCCTTGCTCACCTATTGAAGTGCGCTTACTGTTGTTAACTGTTTTTAAAACACTTAATACTCATATTTACACAATGTCACTTCACAGAAATGGAACAGATAAACACAAGAAAAATCATTTTAAAAATTGTGTTTATTTAAAAAACTGGCATGCATCCCAAGACATTTACATTTACAGCTGTTTTTCTAATTAAAAATAATAATTTATCCGCCTTCACTGTTATAAAAATTGTACACTTTTAATTGATGGTTAAAAGACGCATTTTATATTCTTTATTCTGCCTTCCATTTAAAATACACAGGTTAGAATGCTTATTAAATCTTGATTAAAACTAATTGTGCACTTTAACCACAACTTGAAAAAGAAAATGTTTTTGTTAGTTTTCCCTACCATTATTGAATAGAACCAGTAAAGCATGTAAATATTAACTAGAGAAACTGCATTTCTTATAAAAATGCAGTGTGAAGGCTTATTGCAGAAGAACTTGCTGAAAAACAGCTGAAGTGGAGCTGAAATGGAAGAACAAGCCTAAGTTAGTAGAAGAAAGCAGAAAGAATACATTTGCTGAAATAGGTTGAAATATGCAGAAATTAACATAAAATTAGGACATTTGCTAACCCCTCCCCCGAAATGAGCAAAAAGTATCTGAAGAATAGCTGAAAAGGCATAAAGACACTTAAATAACCAGAAGGAAGCAAAAAGAGCTGAAATGAGTCCAAAAAATGTGGAATTAGCTGAAAAAGATCAAATTAGCATAAAAACAGCTGAAGTAGCTGCAGGTAGCAAAAATAACTTTAAAAATGCATAACAAGTTGAAATTAGCAGAGAAATGTTAATTAGGCTAAAAGTAGCAGAAATTACCACAAAAAAACTTGAATTCATCTGAAAACAGCTGAAATTAGCTAAAAAGAAATGCTAACGCAACGGAAAAGGTACAACAAGTTTAAATTAGCATAAGAAAGCAGAAAGCGCACATGTTTGCCCAATTATTCTGAAAGAAGCAGTAATGAGCACATAAAAACATCTGAAAAGTAGCTAAAAATATAAGAAAGAAGCTTAAATTACCAGAAGGAAGGGGAGAGAGCACATTCTTGCTGAATTAAGCTGAAAAATGTTCAAATGAGTGCAAAAAGTGTGGAATTAACCAAAAAAAGCTAAAATTAGTATAAAAAGTGCTAAATAGTGACTGAAATAGCAGAAATGGCAGTAACTTGCCTAAATAAGCTGAAAGGAGCAGAACAAGCTGAAATTAGCAGAAAGAAGTTGGAAGAAGCACATCAATGTTGTAGTTTGCAGAAAGAATCTAAAATGATCACAAAAAGCTGAAAAAAAAACAGCTGAAATTAGCTGAAAGTAGCTGATTTTTTTTATTAGCACAAAGAAGCTGAAAGAAGCTGAAGCAGAACAAAATGAGAAAGGAGCAGAAAAAGGTTGTAAACATATCTAAAGATTTGAAGGATGTAAAATGAGCTCAATTCATTTTCTATGAGACCAGAAAAGGCAAAATATTTTAAAAAGCTAAAGTTGCACCAATTCGAAAAGTCAAAGCACCCTTCTCCTGAGCGATTTGAACTTTTTCAAATATGATTTGTTGAAATAGCACAAAAATTGTGGAACGATAAAGATGCTGAAAAATGTATGGGTTAAAAATGGATCACAATAGTGTGAATGCTTCATAAGCATTCACACAATAAACATCTGGATGTGTAACCACTGCGGTGGGGAGACACCAAAGCTGATAAATCATCAAACCCCTACCCCACACCACAACCTCCCTGTTATTGTTTTTTAGCTAAAATTATTAAAACTTAGTGTTCGACGTAACATCGTTAGCACGCTGATAAACTTTAGCTATCAGAGAGAGGATGCTGCTGCGGGTGTACACATCTTGTTTTAGCGCCTCTCTAGTTCTATTTCTGCTGCTTTAGTTATGGGAAATAAACACTATTAACATAAACAGATGTTATTTTTGTATGGCCAAGTTGATAGCAAAGAAATGTCTCCAGTACACCTCTTCTTTAACTTCTCTCTGTAAGATGTAGAAGAAGAGTGTCAGTTTCACGTGTTGTATCTACAAATGTTAAACCGACACAAAATTGTAATTACAGAAACAAGGTTTTAGCTATGTGTATGTGCTAAGTTCGTTTATATTTGGAATCGAGATCAAGTTATGTTTGTCATATGCAGATTAACGTACAATGAAATGCTCAAGATGAGAAGGACCGATTTGAATCGCTAAAAACAAAGAACAAACAAGAAATACTAAAGCATGCAATAAGGGTACACAAAATAAAGCACCAAAAAGTGATTATAATATTTACAATGTCCTAAAGAGAGATGGTAAACAACAACATGGTAGAATATAACGGTTCAGCAGGATGAATTTGAATGAAGAAATATTTCAAGGTAGTAATATAAGCTAAAAAGCACATGATATATGTTGCACATAATTAACATATACTTAACATATACATACAGTATAACCACACTGTGAAGTAACTAAATAAATTGTATTAAATAATCACTTAAGCTAAAATCTTTAAATTATAATCATTTTGATTAAAATAGTCATTTTCAGGCAAAAATCATCAGTTTGGCAAATATAAATGGCAATTTATTTTTAAGCATTTTTTTGTACTGTGTAAAGGAGTTTTTTTTTATGTCACCGTTATGAGTATAACCAAGTTATAAATGTAAAGGGCCTTTCAGTGTCGAGCTTTAGGAGTTTTATTCCTGTAATCACAATTTCACTCATAAACATTCACTCTATAAAGACTTGTTTGAAAATTCTAATTTATAGACCTTCTTGTCACAAAAAGTACTCCCACATAAAAAGTTGTGAGATTGGTAATAATGGGCAAACTGGACAGATTTGAAAGAATTCAATTCAGTTTATTTATATAGCGCCAATTCACAACAGAAGTCCTCTCAGGGCACTGAACAGAAACATTCACTTTCACAAGAATCAATGCAAAAACAAATGTTTTTTAGGTTTGATCCTTTATTGAATTACCGTAATTTCTGGACTATAAGCCGCTACTTTTTTCACATGCTTTGAACACCGCATCACATTGCTGTAGTTAATTTGTTTTTTTTGTTGTTTTTTTTGTTGGCCAGATTAACGATCTTCATGCTGCCCGGGCGCTCACACAGCTGCCCATCTCTCTTGGGGGTGGGTCCTCGTAACTCAATGAGACTACCTGTATAAATAATGGTTAAAAAACTGATCAATGAAATTACCGAACAGGTCACAGGAGGAAGATTCAGGTGCGATCAGTAGTCCGGAAAGTACAGTACATTCATAAAAAAATAATAATAATAATGTTGCAACTTAGTAAAAAAAATTTTTTTTCTATAACAAAAGGTTTCAAAAATGTTCTTTGGGAAGCCTTGAAGAATACACTGTAAAAAAAAAAAAAAAAAAACTGTTAATAGCTAAATATATACTTCAATTGTTTGTCTTGCTGACCCCCACCCCACCACATCAAGAGGAAACACTGCATTGTGTGAGACAAGTTTGCCATCCTAACTCTGAACGTCCACAGTATGTTTTCAGTTGTTTTGTAAATAGTTTTGTTCTCACCTCGGTGGCGCTGAAGTAGCAAGTGGTGTAGCCTCAGCTTAACTGTCAGCTGAGCAGAGAGCATAACCGAGAGAAAACAGCCCTGGCTGGCCTTCTAGTCTGGAAATGGTCTGTGGGCTCAACGGGGGGTTCCAACTGAGACCTCACTGCCTCCCCAAACCAGTTTCGTTTGCGCTCGGGTGTGCGCGCTGCCAAAAGGGGGTCGTCAGTGTGTGCTCGGCTCAGCGGGGAGCCCTGGAGTCCATATCCATCTCAGCAGCCTCCTCCTGGCTTCAGCCCCCACTTACCAGAGCCCTCTGCACTCATCAGCACAGTAGACTTAAGGCCAAACACATCATACTTTCCACTGACTGGATACAGATGTGTGTACAGTTTTTTCCTCGTCTTACACTCTCTCCCTTTCCTTGTATTGCTCACAAATGGCTGTGCAGTTTTCTTGGCACTGCACTCAGATGTAGACATGTAACCTAAACAATGGTACACACAAGGACTTCACTCTTGTAGGGTACAGCTCCAGACTCTAAGTAGCCTTAAGAAAGTGCCCAAATGCTTTCAGAGATATTGATGGGCACATTTGAGGGATTGTGTCGCAACCTCGCCAAACCTAAAATGGCTGGATCAAATTGACTTCAGACAGATGAGGCAGTCGATGCAATATTCTGTGATCTGCATACTAAAAGGTGTGGGGGGGCTGCTCTAACTCAGCTTGCCGTCAAGGTCGAGCAGCCCTGTAAAAATGCAGGTAGTTGTTTAGTCGCCAGACTGAAAAATATGACCTTGATTATCGACTGTCATGTCTTGTTTTATTGTCACCCCCTGCGAGTTAGACCATGAAACTGTGCGACAAAGCATGTTCAGGCTGTTTAAAGAAAACTTGCTCCCTTTTTTCTAATTTGAAATTAAGATTACATAAAATGGATTTTTTTTAAGTGCCAGGAAAGAGGCGCCAAACTCCCAAACATTTCCCTTCTCTGGTTTATTTCAGCTTCAATCACCTTAGATTTGTGTAAGCCGGAGTCGTCTTTTTTTTTTTTGCTTTGTGATCTCTGCTGAGCTTGGAGAGGTTGGGCCGCAGATGGCGGTTTATTGTTGCAAATAGGCAGTCTCGAGGTTTTACACCTCAGGTCAATGAATGGCTGAGCGCAGTAATTTCACCAAACACTGATTACCAGATGTTTTTCAAGGAACTGCCCTGGAATACTTATGAAGCCATCCTGACAGGCCCTTGTAGAATTTGTAATGCAATCATGCCTCTTTCTAATAAGACCAATTAAACTGTAATGGATGCCGGATATGAAGCCAACAACAATAATCGAGACACTAAAACATGCCTGTTTTTTTTTTTTTTTTCATTGCATGGCTTTCAGCCACCGTTTCCCTCAACAGTTTTCATTATTAGGTGTGCGGATGTCATCTTCTGCAGTTCTGACCATCAAGTCACTTCATTATAAGTATAATAAGTATATACTGGTAAGTATAAGTCTATGTGTTGTTATCATTGTCTGTTTCTATACAATGGCAATCCATCATACCTGGGATACACCCAGGTGGAGCAGTGGGCAGCTATGCAAGAGCCCGGGGAGGAATTAGGGATTAGGTGTCTTGGTCAGAGACACGAATGTCTGGGGATAGAATTTGGGACTTTCGGGTCCCGAGTTGGCTGCCCTACCTCTACCCTATCATGGCCCCATCTTGACTTGACTTGACTTGACTTGATTTTTACTGTATTAAATACTAGAATTCTAATGATTCAAGTGTAAAATTTTTAAATTCATGGCATGTTTCTTATGAGCTGCTATTTTTTTTGGTTCCCTTAAGGTTCTCCTGAGGAGGGTGGCAAACCATTCCAGTGTCCTGTGTGTGGGCTGGTCATCAAACGCAAGAGCTACTGGAAGAGACACATGGTCATTCACACAGGCTTAAAAAGTCATCAGTGCCCACTGTGTCCCTTCCGCTGTGCTCGCAAAGACAATCTTAAGTCTCACATGAAGGTTGGCAAAGTCCTTTTTTATTTCTTCAGACCTCTGAATCGACAGATATGTTTTATTAGCACCCACTATGATGTTTACCAACTATAAAAAGATGTGCAAGCTGTTGTTAAACTTCACACATTTCTTTATTGAATAATATTATTGTCTTTAGTATCTTGCTGATATAAAGAACTAAATGAAGGTAGAAACTCTGCCTGTCTACCTCCTGTAGAGGAAGGGGAAAAACAGTGACACGTCATACAAACCTGCCCTCACTTTCCAGGTACATCAGCACCAAGATCGAGGCGAGACATTTCAGTGCGAACTTTGTCCCTTCACCTCCTCCCGACACTTCAGCCTGAAGCTTCACATGCGGTGCCACCAGCACTTCCCTCGCACAGACGTCAAGGTGAAAGAGGAGCTCACCACTGACACAGAAGGCGAGGGTTCCCTGTTGGGCGACAACAGTACCGCGGATCTGAGAGTGGCAGAGCTGTCGCCGTTGCACTCGGAAGCCCAGCAGCAGACATCTCCGCTGGGCGAAGCTTCCTCCAATCATGTCCATATTAAGGAGGAGCCGCAGGAAAGAGATCTGTCTGTGCTCTCCCCCTTTAGTATTGGCAGGGACCGTCCTAGCAGCAGTGCAAACTCTCTGGACCGACCTGGCCTACCAGGAATTGGGTTTAGGTTAAGTCCGAGTGGTCCAACCACAGCCTCCCTCTTCAGCCCTGACATTACTACCAAGATGGCAACTGACCTGCTTATGAAGCTTTCAGGTATGTGTGGTTCTTTTTGTTTTGTTCTTTTGTTCAGTGCAATTCCTTCCAGAGCTGCAGACCACTTATTTAACATTAATTTACAGGGACAACAGCAGATTACTGTTACAGTACAAGACTAACGAGGTTGAGTCAGGTCGTCTGGACCGATTCTTCTTTGTTGAAATGTTTCGTCTTTTATACAGAAGTCTTTTGTTCTTCAGACTTCTTCAGTTTTTTTGATAAAAGACGAAAAGTTTCACCAAAGAAGAAGCCGTCCAGCCGACCTGACTCAACCTTATTAGATTTATCTACGTGGATTATTGAGCATCAGGACATTACATTGCAAGCTTTTAAGGTCACTGGAAAAGTATTTTGTCTGAGTTCTAGTCAAAAATATGAGGATTCTTGGTTTGATGTAACACCAAGACAAACAGAAATAGCCACAATTGAAAGAAAAAAAACAAGTAAACCTTTTTTTGAGTAACTTCCATCTAAACGTGTTTTCTGTTGCATTGAGCTGACAAATTCAGGAAAAATCTTAGTCATCTAATATTGCTTTGCTTTGTTGTTTTCTTTACTTGACAATAAGTCACCTGAGTAATTGTTCCACTTTCATCAATATTTCAGTTCTTCAGAGATGTAGTGAACCAGATAACCTCAAATCTACCAGATGGACAGAGACTGTTATTTTCATTGATCTGAATAAGTCTGAACCATCTGATGAACTTTCTTTCTTGAATTAATCAAGCAGAAAAGACAATTCTTTATAATCATTACTGTCTTACAAATGTTTTGATAATCAAATTGTGTTAGTTCACTCAATGCTTTACAGGTTGAAAAGAACTACTAATTTTTATTTTACATAAACAGTAAGTAATGATTTTTGTTCCTCATTCAAAGCAGAAATCACCTGAATATGCCTTTCTTGATTTTTCTGTCTGAAATGAGCAAGCTGTCGTAAGTATGTGAAAGGTTGGTCTTCGGTCAACTAAAATGTTTACTGAAGAAGAAATGTCATGTTTAAACTTTTTCAGAAGATTACTAAGAGTAGACTCCAAAAAGTCTGCTGCTTCTGCAATAATCTTTTCTGTATGTTAAACAAGTTCATTCTCTGACCTCGACTGTTGATAAACACCTTACGTCAAAAACCACTCCTCTTTCTGGTCCTTCCACGAATCAGAAAGCTCTAAATTGAACAGGAAGTCGACCCAAATAAAATGTGGCAACTCCCCAGTTCAAGTTAGATTGAGAGTTCTGAGAGATGTTGGATTGGGAGCTGACAACAGGTCCGATAGTCCAACAGAATGAACAGATTGAGAGTGCAGCCGGTTCTGAAAGTTTCAGAGCAATGAAGAATCCAGAGGTTTTGGGATTATAATTCTGTTTTGAACTAACCACGCACGACTCTTCGAGGATTTTAGCTGTTTTCAACGGAGACGCTGATATCAGTTGAAAAGGATTCTTACTGAGCTGATCTATCATCAACCAGGTAACGACCTCTTCTTCGACTAAAGTGTACCGTGGACAGGCTGGAGATCTGACGGAGCGTGCAACTTCTGGTCAAACAGATTAAATTCCCTCACACATTTCCTCTGTAAGATAAATCTCAATTTAATCTTAAACTCACCTCTCTCTCATAAATCAGTACAGATATTTTTAGAAATGTCTGAAGCAAAGTCCTCAAATCACCGCCGAGTGATTTGAAGTTCATTTTCTGTGAAACTGTCTGTTATTATTTTCATATTTTGCCAAATTAATGTAAATGTTTGATGTTAAACTTTGATTTTGAAAATAAATGATTCCATTCATTTGATGGGTCAAAGATAAATAACGTCTCTCGTTCACATTTCTGTTAAATTCAATGCACGGCATTTACAGTCAGAAAAATGAAGAACTCGTGAATATTGTATGCATATATAATTCATATATTTGCCATACAACAAGTGACACGTACCTCACGTGTATCACTACAACTGGTGGCCCGTAAACGTGTTCATGAATGACTGTTAATACGTGTAAGATTGATTATTTAAATGTTGGCATGTTGAAATAGTAACGGTTAAACAGCTGTGCTGAAACCGTGCGTCTTTACGCAGCGCAAATTGGAGCTGCGCGCTTGGAGCTCGGCTCTACAACTTTACGCTGTGTTACGCTGGCAATGTTTTAAGAGCTGAAATTGTGTCATAAGTCTTGTGTAAGCTGAAATTGTACGTCTGTTACGTGTAACTAAAGGCTGATGAGCTGTGGAATACGTTATTCTGTTTAAGGTACGAGGTTCTGCTAAGACCCGGCTGTGGTTCGGTTCTGCTCAGTTGGAACGAGTATTTTGAATAGATGGATAAACGTTTTAAAAGCTGAGTGCCATCTCAGAACACAGTTAGAAGTTGTTTCGTTACATTTTTTAACAGAAAAAGTGCATTTTGATGGTTTAAAAGACGAAAAAGTGACGAACTATTTTAAGCTAATCTAACTTGCTAGGTAGAGAAAACGCTTCCTGATTGGTTGAATTCGCTGTTGTGGAGCGCTTTCATTGGTTGAAGGTTTGACTGACGTGGCTACGTCACTTCCTCTCACCCTACGCTGCGTGCCATTGGTGATTTCAGTCACGTGACCCGGATATGAAATTCATTTTCATAGGGAAATAAAATCTGCTTTTTAAAGCTAAAAAACGCTTTTAAAGTGGTTTTGACACACTGGTTAGATGCTTCGAAGCCTGTTTGCTGAAATCCTGCCACGTTACAGTTTAAAATTCGTCAAAAAACGATGTTTTTAAACAAAGCTAGCGATGCTAATTTTAAGCTAACAAGCTAACGACCGGAGTTTTAACTACGCTTAAAATCACTAAAGGAAGCTACAAATATTGTTCCAAAAACTCATGTTCAGGCTAAAAAGTCGTGTTTGTTGAAATTGTGCCACTTTTGTGTAAAAAATCCGTTCAGAAATGTTGATTTTGACCGAGTTTAGCCGAAGCTAACTTCAAGCTAAGCGGCTAACAACAGGATGTCAACCGAACGCCACAGGAAGTTATAGCTCCCCTAGTGGATAACACAAACAGTGTCTGAGTTAAAATTAGTAAGGTAAGGCTGACATCTTCTGGCGAACCTTGAGAAGACAGGTTTCACTCGCTTATTAGGTCTAAATAGTGAAATTAAAAACGTTTTAATCTTTCTAAAAGCATTTTCGAGTCAATAAACGTTCCTTAAAGCTGAAAATTACTGTTATCTTGCATTTTAAAAGTTATAAGGTACTTATGCAAACGAGCATTCACCAAAAAGTTTATTTCACTGTTAAATCCTTTAAAAATAAGGTACAAAAATAAACATTAACTTTTTAAAAATAGAAACAGTTACAGATTTTCACAAAGTTGGAAAAAGTTTACTCATTTGCTAAAAGGATAGTGCACGTTTAATTAATAAATCACTAAATAAAAGTAAATATATCAGACGAAGAGACTTTGCTGATTTTATTTATTTTGAAAAACCTAAAACATTAAAATTCTCCTGTTTAAACTCTAAATAGAAGAAAAATGCCAAGCGACAATGAAGAAGACACCTCTTTAAAACCAACAAATGAAGACATCATTTTGGGGGCATTACATATTTTAACAACTCCACTGATTGGCACACAATTACAGCAATTAGAACAACTCGATGAAGTTCAAAGACAAGAAGAGCTGAAAAGTTTGGCCGCAGGAACATTAAATACAGAGAGTAAAAAGCTCAGCCTTGAACGGTTAGCAAAAATCTCCCTGCTTCTAAAAGCTGAATTGGATGAACGGTCGGAACGCCTTGACTGGATGTCTGAAACACATGAGAGGAATCTCTCAGAAATGCAGGCGTCACTAGCAGAAAAATCTTATGAAAAGATTAAAGAAATAGACCGTCAGTACAAAGCCACGTGTGAAGATAACGATGTGCTACAACAACAGTTGCAGCTTGCAAAAACTGAACTGGAACAATGCAAAATAGATAAACAAAATCTACAAAAGCTAAATATGCTCTTAGAAGGTGACTACTGTAAATCCCAGGAACATTTAAAAAAATGTGAGGCGAAACTAATAGCAGCAATAGAAAAAGGTCAGAATGTTGTTCAAGGTGACCTGGAATCAAAACCAGACCCTGAACAGAATCGGGGTAATACACCAATTACTCAACGACCTCTTTTCTCACAAAGTGCTTTTAGACCCATCCAATCACCTACACAAACGGGCAGAGCAACACCCCCACAACTGATCACGCATGTGAGACCATTGATATCTTCTCCATCAATGGATGACTTGCAAAAAATCTCAAAATATGTACAACGTTTCATCCCTGAACCGTTGGGCTCCCCTGGAACGAAAGCGTACCTCAGAGATCTGGATTTCAGATTGAGAGCTTATCCAAACGCTACGGTAGAAGATAAAATCAGTCTGATACGACTCACTTCGGACAGAGATGTGTTTACCTTCATCGAGCGTCTGCCAGATGCAACGAGAAAGGATTACAAACTTCTGTGTGAAGCTCTGATCAAAGAGTACGACGCCTGCGCAGGACCTACTGGGTATCCAGCCGCAGACAAGGTCACGCAGGGCAAGAATGAACATCCAAAAGTTTATTACAAAAGAATCTTCCAAGCTTATTTTGGTAACAGAAATGAAACCGGAATGGAGGAAGAAGAAGGTTTTAAATTTGTTTTCAGCAAAAATCTCCATCCTGACATTCAAACGTCAGTGCAAATGATGGCAAATTACAGAGAAAAATCCATCAGTGAGATTAAACAGTGCGCTGTGAACGTGTTTGAGGCACGTTGTCATGCCAAGACGCCCATAGAAGTGTTTCCTGGTGTAAAGGTTAAACCCCACTCCCTAGAATTAGAAGGAAGGCGTTCATCGCCACCCCCTCCTAAAAAAGGAGAAAAAAGGCAGTATTTTCAGACTAACAAACCGCATCATGAAGGTGCACGCTGGGACAAAAAGGCTCCTCCTTCAGAGGACGAACGTGATTATCGTAAATGGGAT